AGAATCTATTTTGAAATTGATAACTATTTGCCATGGACAGATGTGAGACTAGTGTAACAATCCAGCAAGAGATGGTGAGGAGGACCTAAGGAGAAGGAAGGAAAGAGGGAAATTATAAATCAAAGCCATTCGATTTTGTAATTTTGTAAGTGGAAGAAATCTATAATGAAACAAGACTTCTGGCTTTGGAGAATGGATAGATCGTGATGTTTAGTCGTGAGTTGTAGAACATTGCAGAGGTAATACTGGTTGGAGAACTGTTTGAGATACCTATTGAAGATCTAAGTGATATTTTTTATGTAGAAATGTAAAGATTTAGGGGAAGATTAAAACTAGAGACATATGTTTGAGATCAACAGCATATAGATAGTAACTGGAGAGACAGGATTAAATAAAATCATCCAGGAAAACTTGTCAAGTGCAGAGATAAGAGGCTAATGCCAAACCTCATGCAAACACCATTAAAAAAAAAAAAAAACAACTTTTTGTTTTGTCTTGTTTGATGGTTGTTTATTGATATACTCTAAGAGCAGCAATAAAGAATTTTCAAGCAACTTTAGCATATCATAAGATACTTAATATAAATCCTCTAGTAATGAGAGGACTCCATTAAAAATTGGTGTAAAAAAGGAAATTGCCGACCAGTTCTCATGACTGTGGAATGAGAAAGAAATAGAAAAGCCTTCCTCTACTCTTCCCCAGGGACTGACTCATAGAATAGAGAAGTCTCTCTCTTTTCAGCCTAAGTGCCAGATGGTAAATTATTACCCAAGTAGTTCCTGTCTGTTTGGAATCAAGTTTTGAATAAAGGAGCCCCTCACCTAGAAATATTGATTTTCTGATTAACTGAAAACAAGATCCTCTTTTCTGATTGTTTGGTTTGGGGAATGAGGAATATTGAGAGAGAAGTGTGGGAGTTGCTCTAATATAAAAACAAAACCACCGACAAGCACAAAACAGTGGCACATTCTCTGGAAGGATTGAACTGGTGAAAGATACTCCTTTACATCTTATTTTAGTTGACTTTCGCAAATTCATCTAGCTTTTGCCATTATGCCACTTTAGAAAGAAACAAGTCAGTGTTACCACTTCTTTTTCAATCGCTTAGTCAAAGCAGAGACATGGGTGTTATCATTCTTGAGCCCCTATCCTAGGTTTGTGGTTTTCTCCATAGAGCTTGAGAGATTATTCAAGTCTCCAAGCAATTTTACCTCCAGCAAAAAGGAAGCATTGGAATTTGAAAGAATAATTGGACATATGTAGAATATAAAATCTAATGTATATCTGTGTACAGCTAAAAGAGTTTTTACTGTTTGGGAACCTAAAACAATTTACTAGTAAAATGCATTTGCTTCTGGACTCATGGCATACTCCTGTATTAATGATGCAGATGGCCTTTGCAGGAACTTATGGTTGGGGTTGTGTTGAGTGCCTGCAGAACAACCTCATACCTGTGTCTGCTGAGGAGTTGCGTAGACCCAGATTTGAAGCCCACAGACAAATCCGAGCTGTAGGTAAAGTCTTGTGAGAAATCACCTATGGATGACAGTCAATAACCTGGGGCATCAGCCACAGTTACCCACAAAGCGTATACATTTGAGAAAGCCCTAGTTTGTATAACCCTGGACAAAACCAGTAGTAAAAGGGCAGATAGAGGAAGATCCCAGGAGACCATGTCACTCCTGTTAACTCGAAATGAAGGGAGTAAATTTAAAAGAAAAGAAGTGGTCAACAGTGTCCATTGAAGCTGAGGGAGCTATTAAGATAAGGCTTGAAGAGTCTCCATTGGTTGATGCTGAGTGATTAGTCAGCTTAGGGCAAATATTAGAAGAACTGTCAGGTGATTTATTCTGTGTTTCTGTCAGAAGATACAGCTAGGCTCAGGGTGGCAGCAGATGTTGCATAACCATCTTAAAGGGATATGAAAAGGAATTCTTTCCTTAGATAAGAGGTTAACTATAAAGCTTTGGAACTCTTCTGGAGAAATCTAAGATTCTGCTGTGCTTCATTGCCCAACTTTGAATAATTGGTATGAATGGTAAAACAGCAAAAAGTTTTACCATAGTTTAGGGTCTTTGATTAGTTAGAAGTGGTAATGTCTTAAAGTTGGATACTCTGACTTGTGAAACAAGCCATTTAAGGTGCCCATAGCAACATACACCCTTTCAAATGCACGTGCTCAGCCAAAGCAGCCGTATGTAGGTAACCTGTACTCATCTGGTTAGCATTTCACTTTGCTTTTTGACTTTTAATTCACACTAAACATTAATGCAAGAAGTTTTGATAATAACCTGTGAACTTCATCCTTTTTAAAAGGTAGTGTAGCTCTCTTCCTGTAGTGTAACCATAGCAACTGACAAGGAACAGAGAAAGAAATCTTTCACACATGCTGTGCTAATTAATCCTGTCCTACTGTTTTCCTTCAGCTGGAGGATGCAGTGTAATAAATTTTGCATGAGTAAGCGTGTTTTGATGCATGAACTGTATAAATACATAGCAATATCTTTATAGAAATATTTATAAAAATAGTTATATATTCCTACTTCAAAGTATACATTCCTTTTTTTATTTTTATTTTTTGAGTCATTGTTTTAATAATTTGCTTGCTCTCTGAAAAGTTTTGGGATTTATTTGTCTTTTTAACCAAACAGAAATATTTGTAGGGTGAAAACCTTTTGTTTATCAGTATACAAGACACTTTCCACAATAAGCTGTTTTAATACTTTATTAAAGTGAAATGAATTTTTCTCAAGCAATGCAGAAGAATGCACCTAAAAAATATAATAGCATTCTTCAGTATATGACACCATTAAATGCAACCTATTTTAAGAAACTTTTCACTGTTGATCTGGGAATTTATGTGGCCCATGTGAATGGAGTTTGGATAGTCCTTGATCTGAAAATGTGGGAAGGAGGAAAATAATGTAGACTAAGCCTTTTCTATTTATATTTTCCAGAAATAGTTAACCAGCTTTATAAACTTATGTACAGAGTGAACATAATTGACCTGAATCAACATATAATTATTTAGATTCATACTATCTAAGTTATTTATAGGTCTTGTTCTCCCTTTAAAACTGAGAATATCGTGTGTGTGTGTGTGTGTGTGTGTGTGTATTTATAAATAGCCTGGTATTCTGAGCTGTCAAAGAAAATCTCAGATGTTTTCATTCTCCTATCCCTCTGGCCTCCGTTTCTGTCAACGGGGCTTCAGGAAAACCAAGAGCGTCCAGCCTGAGTGTTTTTGGCATCCCATTTGTCTTTACAATAGCATATGGAACGAGTCAGAACTTATTTCAGGACTTGTACTTAGCTCTTTGGTCTCCTTATAGAAAGATGCTTATTGGAGGAACTAAATCTTTTGATAAAATTACTAAATTCTGGAAACACTACTATCCTGATTGTCCTGTTGTTCAGTTTTGCCTGAATCGAGATAGAAAAAACCTTACAGAGAAAAGATGAAAGGGATTAAGAAGTACAAATTGCCAGCTATAAATATAGTCAGGGGGATGTGAAGTACAGCATAAGGAATATAGTCAATAATATTGTAATAACTATGTATGGCGTCAACTGGGAACTAGACTTATTGGAGTGATCACTTCATAAGTATATAAATGTCTAATCAATATATTGTACACCTGAAACTAATATAATATAGAATGTTAACTCTAATGAAAAATAAATTTAAAAGAAAAAGAAAGTAGAAGTTGTTATGCAAATCTGTTATCAAAAATACTTATTCTCTTCATGTACATAAAAGTTGGGGACCACATATGTGTATGTATGTTTGTATATAATCTGTAGATTTTAATATGGAATACTTATAAACATTAACCAATTTTTAATATGCTATTGGATTATTATAAAAACCGTGCTGTAGAAAAAAATCATGTTACTGTAATCATAGCTGAATTAATTAGAAATTCTTTGTCTCACCAGCTGTCCTATTAATTTTAATATTTACATATAGTAAAGGAAATATCAAGTGTTTAATAAACAGGAAAAAAAGTCATGTTCCTAAGTAATACATAAAAATTTAAATAATCAGAACATGAAAATGAATATGTTATAGTAAAGTATTCTAAAAATGTAGATGCTTTGAGTATCACAGTGATAATTACTTTACACTTGTCATTAATGAATGTTCCTAGATAGAAAGCTATTACACAGATTTTTTTCCTTTTAAAAAATAACATCTATAGATTTTGTGATTTTTAAAGAAATTATATATTCGTTGTAGAAAATAGGAAAAATATGTTTTCTGTTATTTTTTCTATGCATAAATATTTATGGTTGTGAGAACAAACAGCACATACATTATAACTTAACATATTATCATGACCATTTTCCCAGTTTTAAAAAATTCTTAGAAAACATTTTAATTTTATTTAACTACTCCTTAATAATTTATTTATATAGTTTTCAAATGAGCATCCTGAATAATTTCCTGGTGAATGTTTCAGAACACTGAAACCAAAGAAGTTTTAGAAAAACTCTTTGAGAAAAGTGTCATACTCTCTTCTTTCAGATTCATAATATCCATTAGAAAAATTAAGGGCACTGAGAAGTCTCGCTGTATGGAAACTTGTTTAACTTATTAAACAATCTTTTCTGAAAAGAATTTGACCTTGAAATGCTTTCTAATGATACTTATTTATAACTCTCAAAGCTAGAGGTCCATGAAACATTCTTTGGAAAGTCCAGGAGACGTCTAAGCTTCTGTTTAATATCTAAACATTTGTGGCTCATTTGTTTACTCTCCTGGGATTTTATTAGATTCATGATGCTTTATTATACAAATGATTTATTGATTTGTAGCATATATTTGAATCAAATAGACCACAATATGTTTCCCCAACCTTTCTAGTACCTTCACATTGTGTTCGTGATTCTGTATTACAATATCATGCTTGACCTTTTAAAACTGTGAACATTCAAATTTAAATTTCCTTTTTCTATTAGTGCCTATTAAAATTCTTTATGTTTCATGTAACCCACAGGTCTTGCAAGAGCAAAATCTGTCCCTAGCCACACGTACTCCAATGAAGTGGTTACCTTATGGTACAGACCTCCAGATGTCCTCCTGGGCTCAACCGAATATTCCACCTGCCTTGACATGTGGTGAGAAATGGAAGCTTTTCTCTCTAGCTAATCTATCTGTAGTGTTTGGTCTGGGTCAAGCCTGGACAAACATCCTAACAATCTGAATGAAGATTAATGGTGGAGGAGTGTTTGCTTGTGTGTGGCAGTAATGCTGGATTTAAAAAAAAAAAAAAACATGACTGGGAACATTTCCTAATCAGGGACTGAATTACAGATGGTGTCTGTAATGGTTCTTGATGGACAGGGGCAGAGAGATTTTTTTAACTGTTCATACAGTGATTTTTCTCCCTAAAGGTTTCAATTTGTGGCTTTAATTTATATCAAGGAAGTGTATATCACCAAGCAGCAGTACGGGATCAGAAGTAGTAGAAAGCATGTTTAAACTGACAACAAAACTCAGATAAGTGGCCTGAAAATTTTGGTGTAATTTTAGGCACTAAATTTGGTGCAGTATACCTCTGAAAATTGTTGGTATTAATTATCAAAAATGAAATAAAACAATTACTTTCAAAAAGTATCACAAGTTTAATTTCAAGAGTTTCGGTTTCACATGATGGTTTACTAGAACTTAAAAATCTATCATAGGAGGCCCAAAGACTGGTGAGATTTAATGCACAATTATTACTAATGATAAAATATAATGAGTTCCCAGTCTAGTATGATCTAAATCAAATAATCGAATAAGAGAATAATCTTATTTCTAGCACCCAGAAAAGGCTTACTTGTGACCATTGAAAATGTTCTTTAATTAATAGAAATATCCCTTTTCTAGATTCACAATTGTGTTCAAAGCAAAAGAATTCACATAGCATGTGGTTATTTTATAGCAGGAATCGTCTTCCATGAAAGACTATGCTCCCATATACAGAATTCAGCTACATGTTCATATAATGTTTATGATCTCAATAAAACTTCAGCATGTGTTGTTTATCTTACTGCCATGTACTTACTTCACAGCTCTGCCTTCAGTAATCTTGGCTTTTAGTAAATTAGGATGTGATGAGGCCTGGCTTCTTCCCTCATGTTTTGGATCCAAATATTTTATGGTGAGAAAACAATCAAGTTCCCTGTGATATAGAGTACAGTGTTGATTTTCTTAATTTAGGTTCCAGCAACCCCTCTAGGAATGGAATTTGGGGATCTTTGAAACCACTGAAAATATAGACAATATTTTGTGTACACATGGATATATTTATTTTTATGGAGTATAGATCTGTAACTTTCATTAGAGCTATAAAAGAATCTTGGTCATCAGCCTAAGATCTGTTGCCATAGACTTGGAAGAATGCTTTATAATAAATCTGATACCATTGTAATTCATGTTCCAAAACAGTGTGAATAAAGATGACCATCTTTGAGGAGCCGAACTAATCTATTTTTTTATCTTACTTCCTGGCCTTTATTTATTTGTTTTGGATATGTTTTTTATACAATAAGATTTTTTTCCCCCCAAGTCTAGGAAGGAGCTTGGGCAAAATAGATTTTTTGATCATTAATTGTAATGGAGAAAAAAATTAGAAATAAAGGTCAAAGAATACATCAGGATATCAGTTACTAACTTTCTCATTCCCTTCCTCCTTCCTGCCTTATAGTTGAGAGTAGGCTATGCAAATAATCATTACTTAATATCCTTGAGTTATGGAATATTTTTCCTTATTTTTTGAGTATGGAAATTCTGGGTTGTCTTTCAGAGAAGTCAGTTAAGGACTCTGCTATTAGAACATAGTTTGGAAATATTTGTGGCTTGGAGCCAGTTTTCTTTTAGTGTTTGGCAGTTCAGTTAAGACCTACTCTCATTCATAATCTGGAGAAGCTGTTTTTATACACTGGAGAAGCTGTTTTTATACAGTGGCTAATTTTTCCCAAACCTTTAAAAATGCTCTTTAAAGTACAAAGAACTACATGGATTGTGACTTGCTGATAAGTCTGTTTCTGATAGGTAGTATTTGATTTCCTGTCTTTTTTTTTTTTTTTCTTTCATGTGCGTGCATTTGTTCTCTTAAGGAAGAAGGCTTGGGTGCTTTCAGAGACATAACGAAGCATAAGAAGAAGATTGTTATTTAAGAGAAAGAGAGGAAAATTGATAAAAAATAGTAGACCTCAAATGTCATTTTGTCTGCATGCCAGGATTATTCATCAGCAAAAACAAATAGTGAATGTGTTAGCATTTTCCCATGCTTATTGGCTCTTCATTTCCAAACCCTAAAATCTGAGTTATGTCTATGCCATGCCTGTCATTCTGAATCTGATTTCATTCCAAGCCATTTTCCAAAAGCCATTTTGTTATTATCCTCTAAGCCAGGTAAAATGTACGTAGTTTTTCAGTTAGAGAGACGTTTACAGGGCACTGACTTTTGCTGGGTATTCAGAGACCTGGAAATGGGACTATAATTGAGTTATGGTTCAGCTGCACCAAGGAGAAGTGCAAATATTAACCCACGGACAATAGCAGGGAGGCAGGTGGCAGTGGTTTCAGGCTGTTTTTACAGTTCATTTACCATCCTGGGACAGTAGGGTAGTAACTAAAAACTAACGATCCCTACACAGTGTTACATTTTCCAGTTTTCTGTTTAAATAGCTGCAGGCAATAAAAATATTAATGAAGACACGTATGCATTAACACTGGCAGCAAGCGATGGAAATCAGCTCCCCACTTTATGATTTACTGCTCTAGGTCTTCAGCACCATGGTATATGCGAATATACTGTGTGATTCGAGCACTCATCGAAAAAGACAGTTTTTGATACTTTTGTCTCCTTCCATGAAGAAAGCTTGAAGCAGAGGAATAAAATGGGACATTGTCTCATGTCTAACTTCTCTTAATTTTTGGATTTCATAACTCTTTGAAAGTCAAGGCATAGGAAATCATCTTTAAGCTTCTAAACCAAAAGGGCTTACCAAGTGCTGAAAACCACATTAAGAGAAATGCAGACATGAAAAGCAGCTTACCTGTGTATCTCCTCCCTTGTCAGGGAGTTTGGTTCTGGCTGTGGAGGTCATTGCTCTAAATAAGCTTTATATTCTTTTATAGAAGCTCACAGATATGTTTAGAGAGACATTTGTTTTCTAAAGCAGAAGGTCACTTGGGATTATTTTAAGGGATTGATTTTTAACATAAGGTGACTAAGTTATCTGTACTAATAAATAATTATCTCATCAAGATCGTAGTGCTTTAGTGGGGGGCCACAATATTTATTAGCACTACCTTGTGGTATCAGTTACAGTGCTCACCAACATGGTGTGTGAAGAATGATAGCATGTCGGTCTCTTCCTTTTATCATCTGTTTAAAAGCTAATTAACATATTAGCTGTGCTTGTCAAAATGTGGGGCAAATCATTTATAAATAAGCCTGTCAAATATAATGAGATTGCATATTAAATCACCCTTTCCTCTATTACATCTCTGATTTAAGATTAAAATTAATTTATTTAACATTGTAGCAGCTGGGTGGTTAGAAAAAATTTCCATATCGGTCTTGATATATAGAAAAAAAAAGTCACCATCAAAATTGATTTTGCATATATCAGAAAAGAAATTGCCTATTTATTGAGTATTATAAGGCCATTTAACATTAGTTTTTATTAAATAAGCCTAATCACCATATATATTGGCAACATACAGAGTTCTGTCATCATCCTTAATAATCTCTCTTGAACCGAGGAAATTTATGTAATAAAATAAGGTTTGTGAGGACTCAGGTTTATTTACCAGTGTTTTAAGAGAGAGAATCATAAATGAATCCTACTATAGCCCCCATCTTGAGTAATTGAGTAATAGTGGTAATAATAATTAAGTCTTAAGTAATAGTAATAATACTAACAATAATAGGCACTTTTATTGAACACAAACTGTCTTCTAAGCTCTCATACATTTTATTTGTTTTTTTTCCACACTAGAGAATAACTTTTAATTTACAGTTCTATAAAGCATATGAACTCTGGGCTGTTATACATTTTAATTACCTATATACTGTACCATGATACAGTGGAAGGAAACAAAATCCAGGGAGACCGGGTAGGATAGCGAAGATCACATAGTCAGTAGAGCCAGTATTCACACTCAGGGCTAACCTATTCCCAAGCCCTTTCCTTTACAACACATGTCTAATAATAATGATTACGTAATTGGTTTTTATTTTACTAGTAAAGGAATTTTAAAACACAAATGCAGTAAAATTTTTATTTTATCACTTAGATTATGCTCTGAGACACGTTGGATCCTTTGCGTACTTCAAGTAGAGTGTACGGCTTTCGCGCTCACGCAGCAGCCCTGTGGCCTGCCTTTCTCCTCTCACATCAACATTCTGTGTTATATAGTTTTATTCAAGGAGGAGTTTCTTTGAAATAAACTTACATGAATCACTGAATTGAATACATTTTCACGGGACTAATACCTCTGTTCACATGTATTTTCCCAACTCCTAACCATTACTTACCACTGCTGCTAAAATGAACGAGTCCATTTAAAAAAGAATGCTAGTAAAAATGAGAATTTGAGTTCAGTAGCTACATAAAGTCATTTACATATTTCCAATTTATGTTCCAATTTCCAGCATATTTACACTATTTACATATTTTCTAATTAATCAGGTCATATGACCAAAGAGGATTCGAGTTAGTCACTGTCAGAAGTAACAACTCTAAGAGCTCTGGTGAGCTGCTCAAATAATATATAATCCATGTGACTTGTTGGTGTAGCCACTGACAACGGAACATAACAAAAGATCTGGTGACAGTCAGAAGAGCATCTAGGTGGTCGAAAGCTGAGCTCAATGGCAGCCATGGTTTCTGAGCCCGCCTCCAGTACCAAACTCCCTTATAGTGTCTGGAGTGATCTTGTAGTATATCTCATCCATACCAGGATACCTTTGAGAGTTAATAGTAATGCTGCCAGGACAGTAGGTATAAAACAGGGATTTAGCTGTGACATGTGGTCATCTCTCTCAGAAAGCACTAGAGCAATGACTTGTTAAATACCGGTAGTCAGAAGAGACTCGATGCATTAGAGTGCTTAAATCACACCGGAGGACTGCTGGCTACAAACTCAAATTCCTTGTGGAAAACTTGTATGACATTGCTTAATGATAAATTGTCTCCAAAAGTGCATTTCTCTAATATTAGATTATTATGGCATTACATTGCTGGATTTAATGATGGCTTTGGAGTGCTAACCAGTTCCATTTTTCTATTAAAAGCTTAGCGTGGTTATAGTTTTAACATACCGCGTTGTTTATCAGTGTGTGTTTGTAAGAGGAAGAGCATATGTGTGTTTTCAATGGGTATATTCGGTCATTTATTTAGTGATATTGGTTAAATAATAATATGTAAAATGAGGCATTATATATAGTCTTCACTAATACCTTGGAGGTATTGCAGATAAAGCAATGAAGCAATAACACGAGTTGAAATATTTTTGCTGGTGGAGGGTTTTACATTTAATTTGTAAAAAACTCAATACCTATGAAGTGCAATAAAACGAGATGTGCCTGTATAGCACCCAAGGGTGCTATAGGATATATCGAAGAAATGAAAGCTGCTATTTTTAGTTATAGGGAGATTAACGTACCATTTATGTCTAGAGAATTAGAGAGGAATTTGGTCCAGGATGTTCTCATCTTCAGAGAGAGAGAGAGAGCACGCGCGCGCAAGCGAGCGCGTGAGTGAGTGAGCACGTGTGTGTGTGTGTGTGTGTGTGTGTAATTTGGAAATATAAGGGCTCAAAGTTTAGAGAACATTGGTTGTACATTCGTGCCTTTTGTGTTTTAAGTTGTGTGTTTATTCCTGTAGAAATCAATTATCTGATCATGTACCAAGCAGTCATTTGCTACATAAAGGTGAGGCAATCTTGTAGAAAACACACTGAAAGCCTAAATTAAATTGTCTCTGCCACCCCTTCCCTCTATAAACTTGATTGACCAAAACCCTTAACTATTCCATACTTTCAATTTCCTAATAAGAAAACTATGATAATAAAACCTATTTTAGATATAACCAATAACTAATAGCTGCCACAATAGTCTCATCAGCAAAAATAGTAATCTGCTGGCTCACTCATACTATCCTCTAATCCTGTTTCCCAGAAGCAACTACTTCTTTTAGTATCTACCTCTATATGTCTTAAACAATTGTTTATGTTGCTGTTTATTAATTTACTATTTTAGACATTATCTACTCAGTAGGTGTTATGGTAGATGAGCATTTAATTTCTTCCATCAACCTTCCCCTACTCCACCTTGACCTCATTCTCCCAATATAGAATGTATATCATGTTTTGAAACATTAATATGTAAATACGTGCTTAAGTCAAGTAGTATTCATGATATGTTTAGTTTCTTGAATAACCTTTTGTTCTTCTTGGACTTTACAATTGTCTCTGATTTTTATTAATTTTGTTGTCTTTGTTCCTGTTAATTATTTATAGCTATAAAAGATTTGTCAATTATGTGTGAAAAAAAACTTCCAAATCCTCAAACATATCAGCAAATCTATCAATCCCATTTAATTCTCTTGACGTCTCCCTCCCTCATCCTTTTCCTTGAAATTTCCCTCTGTCGGCTCTCTGATTTCTTGTCTTAGTATAGCTGAACATCTGTCATCTTGGAACATCCATTTGCTTCTCTCCTGTTGTTTTAGGTCCTAAGATAGTTAGTTATTGTCTGTTTCCCTCCAGATATGTTCTTTTCCCCCTTCTGCCCTGCCCTATGTCCTAGATGCCTGGCCCCGAGGGACTGCATCATCCACGCCGTCTTGGCTATGTTTCCAGTTGGGTTCAGGCAACAGACTAGTGGGAGAAGAGGGAGATTGTACATTCTTTCCTAAATCTTCCCTACTTTAGCCCATATTTGAGGGGAAGTCCGTGGCTTTCACTGTCAATAGATTTCAATAACATTTGACTTTTTTAATTATAGGGAGAATAATGGCTTTTAGTTCTAATGGCTTCCTGCTGTTGCTAGCCTCTTAGCGTTTCAGTGCCTTATCAGTTCCCTTACTCCTCTGGAAGTAGTTACTTTGTTAAAGTTTTTTCTGGGTTGGATTCATTTTCCTTCTGGACCTTTATTGGTTACAGATTCCCTAGTTCCTGTATTCCATGTCTCCTCCCTTAGTTTCCTAAGAAAGAATGCATTAGAGATAGTTATCAAATTCTTAGTTTTCTGGAAATGTTCATTCTACTCCCTCACACATGATTGATAAAGTTTCAATCTGATTATATAATTAGGCTTTTCCCCTTCAGAATTTTGAATGCATTGCCTAATCTCTTTAGAGCATCTAGTATTGCTGCTAAGTCTGACTCCATTCTCGTTCGCAGCTGTTTCTGTGCCTCCTACTTTCTCTCTGGAAAGTATGAGGCTCTTCCCTCCATCTTTGGTATTCTAAAATGTCATGATAATGAACTTTGTGTCTTTTTCTGTTGGTGTAGGTTCCCTTCGATATAAAGGCATCCTTTTCAGTTCCTAGAAAGGTTGTCAAATTTCTTTTTTATATGATTTCTTTCCTTCCATCACCTTTGTCTTTGCTTTTTGTGAAAGTGTATAATAGTTTGATACTGGATCTCCTATCTCAATACTCTTTTTTTAAACCTTATTTCTTATTTTACAACTTTTTACCTTCCAAACCGTCTATTCTTTTTTTCAAAATTTGCTATCATATATATAACCTCCACTTCTTTTTTTCTCTGGTTTCTATTGGAAGCTTTCCTCAAATATCAACGTGAGTGGAATCCTTGACTGTCTATTTACTTTTATAAATGAGTCACTAATTGACTGGTTCGTTCATTATATATTGTTCAGACAAAAAGCTGGACTTTTCATTGAGAGATCCTGAAATGTCAGTGTCTGAAGGCCTATTTTTTGTTCTTCTTCAGATACTCATTTCTGGCAGCTGACATTCTCACAATGGGAGAAGGCAGCTGATGGTCACACAGACCAATAAACATATTTTTCACCTAATTCCCTTTTTTTCAGCTCTGTGCCTCATCCTGCTTTCACTTTTTATCCTCATTTTGAAGTCTTTTGGATTTGATTTCTCCAGAGAATAAATACTCAGTATCCTGCTGGTAGGTTGGGGTGGGAGATGGTTAAAGAAAACCAGTTGGTCAGTTGCTCTGTACAAACTTTTAACCCTCCACACTATTTCCAGTTGTCCGAGTCACCTACACACTCTCTAGAACATGTGTCCCCAAGTCCTGAGTCTCTTCTGAGTTGTTGTAGATAAATACTGACTTTAACTTGAAGGTGTAACTGCCTGTAGTGTGCCTAGATTGCCACACCTTCATCCATACCTTCTGGAAAAAGATTATCTCTCATCCATTTGTGTCTCGTCTATTTATTTTATCCTTGTTTAAAATTTTATTCTTTAACTGACACTTTAGTCACTTTAGGGAGGGAGGGAGGGAAAATCTAAGCATGTTCAGCTTTTGTTGCTAATTTAATATTTGTGGCTTTAACTATAGACAATTGACTGCCAAGGTCCTTCCCTGGAGAAATTGGTGATTTTGCTCAGACACAAATTTGAATTGCAGGTGCTGATGGGTGAAAGCCAATCAAATAGTACAGGACAGGCAGGAACCTCTTGCTTTGCCAGTGTGTTAGTATAGTGGTAGAAATTTATAATCCTTACCACCTAAGTGTTAGTGAAATACTGACAAACTATTTATGAAAAAAATAAGTACTCGAAAGCCATATGCTTTTTGATGAGCTGGTGATGAAAGGGAATAGAATGTGAAGTGATAGTTCTTAAAAAGATAAAAATATTCCATAAATTGAAAGAATTGATTACAGAAAGTTGGACTTTGGATCAATAGCATACATGAAGCCAACATAAGTTTGCTATTAAAACAAGCAGAAGCAGTTGGAGAAATTTTTAATAAATGTTCCAGTCAATATAAAGTTTCTAGTACAATGACAGTGAAAAGGTAGACAATATACATGCACAGGAAAGATGTGATTGAACGGGAAAGTGATTGGAGAGAAACTAGGAGCTTATAGAAACATCATCGTGTGACTATAGTTAGTAAAGGGATTTGGGTGTCTGTACTCTTCATTAAAGGATGGAAGTGGGAATGTCTATGCTGTTGTAACATTTGTGGATTAATTCCACAGGACACTGCATTATTCAGAGTATATTTTAATTAAGAATCACATTTTCATTTACTAGTATTCTGCTGTATGAATTAATATAACTTAATGTACTAGTAGCTTTCTTGACATTAGATGCTATATTATGTAATCGATAAAAGGTTTAATTTTGTTTCTTTTTTTCAGTTTTGCTCTTCAAATGCATCCCTAGATTCCGGTTTATAAAAGATGCTCTGGATGGAGAGAAATAATACAATAATTAAAAAATAAAGTCTAACTTAGCCAAAATAACCTATCACTGGCCAAGAAACAGCCTGCTAAATTTCATGAAAAAAATAAACTAAAACAAAACTCAATCATAGTCTGCGACAGGCACTTACTAATTATTAAAGACAGTGTCTGAATAACTTTCTGTTTTCCTATACAAATGTTCATGTTTTGCTATGGTATTTCATGTTTCTTTATATTTCCATGTGACAATAGATTTCAAGAAGGAGATATTTATATATAACTGTGTTTTCTATAGAATCTGTCAAGGATTTTTTGTTCTTATTGATAATCTAATGGTTCTTCCTTCATTGTTAGCTTTTACTGTGTTTCCTCTGAAAGTGGAATATATTGATAGTCTAACATAAATAAATTTAAAAACTTTATCAACTATAAAATTGCATGTTTGTCATATTTATTCCTAACATGTTCAATTTAGAAACTCTTTCAGAATTTTAACGACCCAGTGAAATCAATTTGTTTTATTGTTATTTTATGGACATTTTATACCCCCTGCCCCCCAAAATCTGAAAATGCTTACTTAAGTTGCATACACTAGCTGTTGGTGGTGGTGTAGAAAAAAAAAAGTCCCCTTCCCACAAAGATCTCTCTTATGCAATATGAGTATCTTCATTCATTCATTCATTCATTCATTCAACAAAATCTTGCATATTTTCCAGAGTTTCAATAGTAAAAATGGCCTGATTCCTGCCTGCCAGCAGCACCAACTACTGCAACTGAACTGCACAACTCCAGGGGGCGTTATTCACGTTGTAGTCTGTGTGTAATGTCTAGTCTAAACATTCCAGGGCAAGTCTTTGAGAATGTTTCAAAAAGCCCATGGACTTCACCAGAAAATGGGCAATAAGGATTTACAATGGATAGGTTTTTGCCTTAAGGTCTTACATATACTATCTAAGATATCAGATGATCGTCAAATATTTTACTGTCAAATATTTTCTCAGCAGTTACTCTCTTTGTGATATGCTAGATGTGGTTTCTCTAAAAAGATTGCTTGAGTATATCATTTGCTTTGATCTTTCAGATAATTACCCGTGAACACTTTTTCCCCTAATTCCCCATATTATTGAAGGAGGATTAATACAGTCGCAGGGAGAAATCTTATAATATGACTTCCTTGTTCTGCATAAGCTGTCACATAAACAGAGATTAAAGATGTGCAAGGCTTATTATTTTGTTTTTCCTTGTCCGAACTGATCTACAGTTATTCCTTGGAGAGGTGCTTTCACTGGTAGCATTTTAAGTGACTAGTCAAATGGTACTTCTCTCTTCCTTTATTATTCCATGGTACAAGAAATATTTCTCTGGTATGGAATGCAATATTTTGAGGTTTCCATTTTTTACTTATAGTTGTCCTTAGTAGTCCTGTTTACATTTTTGTATTAATTGTGTTTAGTTTCTGGATGTTCCTAGTCTGTATATTTTCAATTATCTATATATAATCTGTGGTTGTTATTTTAATATTTTATCTCTGGGATCTTCACTATCTATTGAAATTTGTTTTGAATTTTCAAACATTTTTAAATATCAACAACCTTTTTATTTTTAGTGTGCTAGCAATAGTGATAGACTTCAGTTTTTAAGGATAGTTTTATTGTCTGCCCAAACCTTAATTTTGAAGACTCGATTTAGGTTTTATTTTTATCTTTGTTAGCATTTATGTCACCAAGAACGAGAACAAAATTGCCATCTCTATTTATTATTCTTTTTTATTGTGACCAAGGCTGACCAAATAAAGAAACATTCCAATTGAGGAGGCAGCATGGCATAATGAAGGGATCACTGACCTAGGATCCTGAGTCAGTTTCGGGTTCTGGAGCAGAAACGAAGACAGTTAAACATGTAATACAGTTTTCTTACACGTAAAAATCAGAACATCGACTTAGGCACTCTCTAAAATTTCTTCATCTCTAAATTTTAGCATTTGATTTACCAGAGGTTTCCATGGAGACTGCTGGAATTCCTTCAGAATGACTTATAAATGAAGCTAGTGTTTAGATATTTTGGTGAAATTGCTGATTTTTTTAGTATTTAACTTTATAAGATAATATTAGTTCTAAATCAGGTTTCTTTCTCAACTGCAGTTTCTTGTGTGTATTACAGAGACTAGTTTATGTAATTCATTTGTTCATTTTAAAGGTATTTATTGAACACCTATTTTGTACCAGGTCCTGGGGCTTAAAGAGATAAGAAAGATCCATCCTCATACTTTCCGGGTTAGAGAGAAAGACAGTATGATGAGCTATACCACAGTAGGTACAGTGACGGCTTAGAGGTAAAGGTGATAAATTTATCTTTGGTGGATGGTTGAGGAGAGGTAGGGGTGTCAGAGGAGGTATCACCAAGTGGTAATTACTTGGCGTGACATGTCAAAGCCATCTTTCCAAGTTGACAAAACTAAGGTTGAAGGAAGGACGTGAAGGCCATACCATGGACAAAAATATCCCACTAAAGGGTGAAGCAACAGATATTTGTAGGTAGGAAGAAGAGCATAGTTTAAGAAGCAGGCAGAGAAAAAGGAAGGAATGGCCAGCGGGGAAGGGGAATGGTTAGAGACCATAATGGAGGGATATTTAGGAATATTTTGAATATGACAACTTGATGACTGAATGGGAGTAGTGAGGGAAAGGCAAAAGTTTTGGATGATTCCTGCATTTCTGGCTCAGGCAACTGGACCAGAAAGCAAAAATATATGTATACTGAAATACCTATATACTGAAATGAATGGATGGATGGATGGATGGGTGGATGGATGGATGGATGAGTGGATGGATGGATGGATGGTAGATTAAAATGTGTGAGCAAGAATTATCATTGTAACTTAAGGAGCTTTAATGCCAGTTGATACTTTAAGGTGGTTGGGCTTCTTGAGCTTCCTCCAAAGTCTTATTTCAGATATGGATGCTGGTAAGGGGTTCCCACTCCACTGCTTGGTACCTCCTCCCAAGCCAGCGCAGGCCACCCTGGGCCTTGGCCTTCACCAAATAAACTACATTAGCTTCCTGTACTTCATTCTTTACTTTTGTTTAATTATTGTTCTGATATGCTCAATTTAGAAATACACCTTCTTAGACATATAATTGTGTCATTTGAAAAATAAATCTTAAAGTTTCTCCTTATATTAAAAAAAGTCTATTGTTTTGAAGTGAATGTTTTTTGCGATGGGCTTTTACCCACAGTCTAGGTTCAGTTTGATTTGGTTTTCATTCCCTGAGAACTAAGTACTCTGTAGAAGTATTTGACTAAGATATATTGTGCCTATCTGTGCCTAATGAAGCACTAACCCCAGTAAATGATGAGTGACAGTTTAATCAATTTGTTTCCTTCAGTCGTCACCAAGGGCATAGGGAATGTAATTTTTTACTCTTTCACTTTTCAAATACTGCAAATGCCAACTTGAAAAGATCACATCTGTTCTATGTAATAAATTTTCTTACAAGTTATTTTTTATAACTTTAAAAAATTTTTTGATCTTTTAGAAGCTAACCTCCTAGGGAACAAAACTCTTTGGTCTATTTTAAAGATATATACATTCCAACAGAGAGAAGTGAGATAAATAAATGGCAGTCTTGGTGCATCAAATCGCACTAGCTTTAATTGCATAATGGTTTATTTCAGTGAACCATGGCTACATAAAATTACCTATTAGCTTAATTAATAAGGAATCTTTCTGAGTTAGTATTGCATTCCCAAGTTTAGATTGTTTAGTATTTAATTTATTTCATTACTCTTCTGTTTCTTTGTTCTTTCTTTCTCTGGAGCCTGAATCCACATTCAGAGACTTAACCCAAGTCATAAAACTCCTTTCGAAACAGAATTATCTAGATTCCTTTTGATTTTTGCTCTGCAGTTTCTGGCCTTACATCCAACAGCATCAGTGTTGCTTAGAAGCTTGTTAGAAAGGCAGGCTCTCGGGCCTCAGCCCAGACCTAGCTAGTCAGAACCCCTTGTTCCAAGGAGAGCCCCACGTGATTGGCATCCGCATTAAAGCATGAGAGGTGCCGCTTCAGAAGCTTTCTCTCTCTTTTTTTCCCGATGGACACATAGGCTTTGAGGGAATTTCTGGTGCCAGCATGATGTTGAAAGAGAGAAAGGCCTGTGGGTGAGTTATGATTCTGTTCATCTGCTGTCCTCCTGTCAGAAACAGCTTGACGCTGTCTGTCTACAGCCCTCTCTCCAAATGTTTTGACAATGCAGATGGTTCTGAACGCCTTTAAATGATTCTCTGAACTTGAGTGGGGGTGTCATAACATTCAATTAGGAAGGTCAGTATGAGAAGGGGCAAGTCTCCCCACGAGAGCTGGGTGGGTCGCTGTCCTCTCTGCACACATTCAAATGCACTTGTTACCAAGGGCACAGACTTCCACATGACTTACCACTGCTGATGTTAACCTTGAGCACATGGTCAAGGTACTGTTTGCCAGTTTTCTTCATTATAAAACAATTCTCCGCTCCCCAGCCCCACCTCCATACAGTACTCTTTGTAAACAAGTTCCTAAGCTCAGCGCTCACTCCATAGCTGAGAAGTAGAGAGAGGAAGGGGGGGTTGCATTGTTTTTGATTCATTCAGTCAGCAAATACTTTTGAGCCTTTACTATGGGCCTGACACTCTGCCGTGCCTTGGGGATGAGATGATGACCACAACCTTTTCCTCGGTCTAATGGGTCTTCCATCTAGAGGAGACGTATTCCAAAAAAGCAAACACAAGCTAACACCCTTTTAGTGTTGCGAAGGAAACAAACTAAGGAAAGGAGGGTGAAAAATAGGGCCTGGGCAGCAAGGAGGAACCTGCCTTACATATGGTGTGAGGTAAATACATTTCTATTTTGAGCTGATCCCTGAATAACAAGAAGCAATTATCCATACACGGAGTGAGAGGAAATGCATTTTGAGTAGAGGTAACAATTCATGCGCAGATCCCGACATGCCAAGAGTATTGCATCTTTTAGGCACAGACAACAGAGCAGGATGGCCGTAGCAGAAGAAACCTCATGCATAGAGGTAAAACATGAAATTAGAGAGCGTGCGGGGCCTTCACTATCTCCAGTCTCCATTCTTGTTTTTAAGGAAGAAAACAGCTTAATTTAAAATAATTAAAAATTTAATTTAATTTAAAAAGTCTGATTCCTTTTCATCGGCACAGAGGCTGATATTGGATGTAGGTAGAGGAATGCAGATGGAAAAAAATAACTTGAAAACATTTTAGAACACGGTAACCTTATATTTCTAAAATTATATTTATCAGGTGAAATTTTATTGTTTATAAAACAATATGTAACCTATAAATCTTGGTTATAAAAATAATAGGTAGTACTTCCAATAATAATATTTTGCTCCTCAATCTTCTAAACATAAAATAAAAACTTCTAAAAAAGTTCATAAAAGTAAACTCTTCTTCCACTCAACCCATTACTCAAATTAACCTACCAACTCTTCCTCTTTTTTGAGAAGTAATCCTTGTAGGATTGGTTATAGGAGCAATGTTATTAAAAATCACCCTACACATTTTTTCCCAACTTTCTAAATTAAAACATTTTAAATGAAATATTCATTTCAATCAAGTTTTAAATGGACACTTTTAAGCATATCTATCACAGGAAAATTGCCAAAGAGGATAGTGAAAAACCAAAACTTATTTGAGAGCCCATTTCTATTAGTAACTATTCATAAATAATAATAATGTATAATTTCTTTCTCCATAACTGAAGGTGATTTCTAGTTATAAGTAAGTTTTTATACAAATGGAGCATAACAGATCAGAGTTGGGCAAACTTTGTAAAGAACATGATAGTAAATATTTTAGGCTTTAAGGGCATGTAGTCTCTGTAACAACTATTCAACTCTGCCATGACAATGAGAAAGCCACATAGACAACACATAAATGAATGAGTGTGCCTGTGTTCCAATATCTTATTTATGAACACTGAAATTTGGCTGTCATATAATGTTCATATATCACCAAGTAGCCTTCCTTTGATTTTTTTTGACCCTTTAAAAATGTAAAAGTCATTCTTAGCTCGTAGGCTATTATAAAATAAAACAGGCACTGGAGGGATTTAGCCCGTGGTCTGTAGTTTGTGGACCCCTGGGCGTGATCATGTGTTGCTTCTCATCCCCCAATAGAGGTAGGGCTTATACTACTGTCAAATGTCATTCATTTGCTGCCGTTTGAGTGGGAAAGAGCAAGGTGGCTTTACAGCTAGTGGTTATAATTGATTCTGTCCTCAAAGCTATTTTATCCACTAATATGCCTGTAACCTGGGTTCTCTACTCATATGTACTTTATCTACTGTGAATATTGGGATACAGAAAAAAAATTGAGACCTTCTAGCCTAGAAATGAAATCACGTACATCTTAGTATGGAATATGGACTTCCGCTCTCTTTTTAACTCTTCCATCCATTTCTCACATAGACCCATAACAAGAGCGTATGGCTTTCTCAAGATTCCTCACTTACGAGGTCCTTTCTTCTCTACCTGAATACCTCAGTCTAACCCCTGGCGTCATCACCCCATAATCCACCAGGTGCCACTTTTCTTGTCCCCTTAAATCATCAGCCGTACAAGTTGTTTCTCACTCTCCACATTGGGCTGAATATATCCTCTTATGTTCCTTTGGTATCTTATCATGAGAATTGTGTGGAATGTTTTAGAATTACTGTGTTTATTGTATGCAGACATACCTAAAAGAAACTTGATGGAACTTTTCTCAAAATTGACAACAGTCCTCAAAGTTTACCTGACTATACCAATAATGAGAGGGGAAGCTGAAAGAAAAAAATGTAATTTTCTCTATACATCAGAAAAGAAAGTCTCTATACATCAGAAACGTAATTTCCTCTATACATAGAGGAAAGACTAACTTTTCTCCATATTCTCTATTTTCTTTACAGAAAATGATATAGAGTAGTTATAGATGAGGTAATCAAAGACTATGCAGCCAAAATTGTAGAAAGAAAAGTATTAGAGAGGTGTGTCAGGCAGTTAATAAATATTACATTACTTTTCTGAATTTTATATTATTTGTCATATTTGTTAGCTTTTAAAAATTTATGATTTCTTTTATTTATTTCCTTATCCTGAATTCACTTTTGTACCCTATTTTTTTTTTCATAATTTTGTATTCTTTTTCAAAATAAGAGCTCTCAAACTGTATGACCTTCAGGCCTAAGAAAATGTCCGTCTTTGCTCATAATGACAAAGAATTATCAATTCTTTTTCAAATCTTGTTTTGAATCATAATAAAAATTATTTATATATTTGCAGCATTAATTAAATTGGGAAATTTTGAGTTTAAAAGAATTGAAAGAGGTGTAAACATGGGTGAATGTTTTACATATTATCTTCCCAGGTAACTAATCCTAAAGTACAAGTTTGAACACAGTGCATCTTATGACAGCTTTAATTGTAATCTTTTGTGGCCAGTTCTTATTTTTGAAAAATTTAGACTAAGTAGATGATGATTGTATAACTATTCAAATTGTCAAGAGAAGCAACAAATTAAAGGAGACATTTTCTGGAATAAGATTATTTCTATCATAAGTAGAGACCTGAAGTGAATGAATTCTTTCTGAGTAAACTACTCAGGAGAGTCAGCTCACTCCGTCAAGAGAAAGAGCATAGGGCTCAATGGTGGGTTTGGAGGGGAGGTGAGGGAAAGAAAGCCAGCAGTAGTCCCTTCACATTAAATTGAAGGGCTTTTACTGCTTTTTGGCATAAGGCAGCTTTAGTAAGCAGTTATTCTGTTATGCTAATATGTTGATATGTTTTTATACATCTACTTTTTAATTTTCTCAAGCTTTCTATCTCTTTTTATAAATCCTTTAAATATAATTCTCTCAGCTTCATTAGTGTACCCTAAGGCTTCTTTGAAATATTATGTCATAGGAAACATTAGAAATGAGAGTTAAATCCCTTAGCTAGCTAAGCAGATAAGAGCCTATAGACATGCTATATCATCACATTCCAACTGAGTAGAATTATAGCATAAATTTGTCTTTTAATTGTTCTAAGTATCATATTATAGAGATGACATAGACTAAGCACAAGCAGTGGTGAGAAAATTTCTATAAATAGCTCTGGCAGTGTAATGGTTACCTCACCAGGCAGCTTAATTGGGTACACAGTAGGGGCATCTGTGTCTTCTGCTGAGGGTCTTCGTTCTCAGAGTTGCAGTTTGTAGTGGGAAAGAGACTAGAAGATATATTCTGAATGTAACAAAAAAGGAAGATACAGGTAGCTATTTAAGATCCAAGATATTTCATATGAACTTAAATAAAAAGACAATATAAATGTAGGTCAGTAGTCTTAGAATTCTTGGCATAAAAATTTGGAAAACCACTGATGTGAAATTTTAGATCTAACTGGACATCCGAAGCCCCAATATTTATATGAATATCGTTGTATTTTAATATGCCAATAAAATAATTCTCTATGCCTGTGTTCTCTCAATTCTTAAATAAAAATAATTTGTGTTAAAACCTGTCTTCCTAGAATACTGATTTTGAAAAAATTAATTTTTATGACTTTAATGGAATTATTTTTTTATGATATAAAGTAACATTTGTTTATTTTTAGTCATTTCAACTATATACTATTGGAGTTTAATCTGGATAGAAATCGTGTGGTATAAAAGAGAAGAGATTTCTGTAAATGTATCATTTCTTTAATTCAAAATATTGTTTATTTACAACTATGATAACAACCAGGTCAGCTAGAGTGATGTAGGTCTCTTTAGCTAGAGGTCCTGATACAAGTTGAAGGCACAAGGGTTTGAATATAAGTGCAGCAATTAAAGAAGTGTCCCAAAATGTTCATGATTTTATTAGTATACTTTCAGGAAACATAAACCCATTCAGAATAAAGCCATTAAAAGAAAATCCTGAAGAATTGCTAGAAGGTAGAGAGATCTAGCAAAAACATTGGGTTATCTGAACATCCAGGTCATAGGAAGGTGGGAACCAGGTCAATTTAGGGGACTTCATTTGTGGAAAAGTGGCCATTCTTGCTAGTTCTCTGCCATTAATGTGACTTATCCCATCTACATGTTCTAGTTTCTTTCCACCCTGCTGCCAGGTGACTTGTTCTTAAGAGTCCCAGCAGAAGTGTCTGACTGTCTACCTATACTGTGGATTGGTTGTTCCTGTTGGGTTGTGTGCAGGCTGCTGTGGTCGGAAAGGCAAGGTCTCCTGATATGCTGCTGGACCGCCTTGCTACATGAGAACTGTGAGCATAGCAGGCTAGGCTAGGAGAGGAAAGCATGTCCTTTCTGCTGGAATGTTTCTGGAAGGCTTCATGGAAGAGATGGCACTTAGATTATAGAGGTTGAGTTGGATTTACGCATGAAGAGCAAATAGATAAAGAAGAAGGGAGTTCTAGGTAGTGAAGCAATTTGAGCCAAGTTACATTGGTTTACGCTTGACCTGTGGGTAAACCATTCTGGCATAGAGATTCCCAGTGTAGTTGCATAAATCACCTGAGCAGCTGGAGTCAATGCCTGGGCTTCAACCTAGACTAATTGAAAGAGAATCTTTGGGGTTTGTGTTCAGATCATTTACAATTTTTTAAAGTTTCCCAGATGATTCTGATGCAGAGCGAAGTGTGAGCCTTGGACAGCTAGAGAAGAGATTACATTATGAATTTGTGACGTAGGGTTAGAAAGGATATTGGAACAAGACTGTGGAGGCTTTCTATACCAGGCTAAGGAGTTTCTTGACTGTATCCTATAAGCAAGGTGAGCCACTAAGGTTTACATTTTATTGGTTTCCACCATGTTCAGAGCCCAGTAGACAGGCCAGTAGACAGGGAGAGGGAGGAAAGTTATGGGATCTAGGTATATGTGTCACAGACCTTGGTACTCATTAAAAATATATTTATTTATTGTTTCTTCTCTGTAGGAGTAGTTGTTCTAATTCCGGATTTAAGTTTTTAATCAGAATATATTGAAATTTTGAAAGAATTCTTTCTTCTCTCTTTTAGGGGAGTTGGCTGCATCTTTGTTGAAATGATCCAAGGAGTTGCTGCTTTTCCAGGAATGAAGGACATTCAGGATCAACTTGAACGAATATTTCTGGTAAGTTCTTGACAGCTTGCTTTTGAGAACTGGTTTCTAATTTGTCCCCTAGTGACACATTCTACAGTGGTAGTGGAAAATAATTTTAAACAAATTTATTAGTTGTCGCATTTAATTCTAACATATTTTTGGACCTTTGAAAAAACAAGAAATTAGTTAACAAATATGTTTTTAAACTACTGCACATGGATGATATGCCAAAATGATAAAGAAAGGATATCAGATACAGTATAGAATAGTGAGTAAAAATGAGAGCTCTGAGAGAAAAACTGCAAATGATTTACATAGATACCCCCTTTCAAGTATGTGTAGCTTAACTCCCTCTCATTCTCACCCACTTAAATGTGGGCTTTGATTAATAACTTCTTCCCATAAAGTAGAGCCTAGAAAGAGGATGATGAGAGGAGAAGATACTAACTTTAAAATGGAGAAACAGGCAAAAGTACCTCAGCGGGGTCTTCAAGATTAACATTATCAAAGGTAAGTCATGGTGGTAGCATGTAGCCTTGATAAAATGTATTGAGAGTGGCACTTCGCCTTTGTGGTTTTCCTCCCAAACCTATAACTCCAGTCTAATCATGAAAAATATACCACATAGAACCAAGTGAGGGGCATTGTACAAAATACTCCTGAAAACTTCAAGGCCATCAAAAACAAAGAAAGCTGAGAAACGTTCCTCAGTTGTGATAAATGTTCCACATAATATAAGATTTTAACAATAGGGAAAACTGATGAAGGCTATATAGAAACTCTGCACTGTTTTTCAAAACACTTCTAAAAGTAACGTTCCTCAGTTGTGATAAATGTTCCACATAATATTAAGATTTTAACAATAGGGAAAACTGATGAGGGCTATACAGAAACTCTGTACTGTTTTTCAAAACACTTCTAAAAGTATTCTAAAATTAGAAATATTTAAATTTTTTAAAATCTGAAAAATATCAAAATAAACGCAGATTTATCATAACCTGCTCTGTCATCTTGGTCAACAAACTTAGATCTTGAGCCTTAGTTTCCTCATGGGCAAAATGAGGGATAATAAAGCCTACCTTATAGGTAGCTTTGAGGAATAATTGACTTAATATACATAAAGTGCTTTTAGAACTATGTCTGACACATAGTAAATACCTATAAATATAAGTTATTATTTTTATCAAATCATTTTTATGCCAAATATTTTTATTCAGTGGAACTTCCACATTAGCTAATATTCATATAAACATTATTTAAAACATGGAATAAGAGTGAAACAAATTAAGTTTTTTGTTAAAAGGATTCAAACTATATACATCGTTATAGTTAACCACATTATCATATTTTTTCTCTTCTTTAATAAAACTCCCATATGAAATCACTGGGATGCATTTTAGTGTGGACCATATCAAGAGATGTACTTATTGGATTAGCATTCATTTTAGTTATGCAAGTCCATCCTTAAAATGTAGCTTTCACAGTAAGCATAAGGACTGCAGTAGGTTTAGTAGGTATAAATTGAGATGCTATCACTACTATGTTTACCTTGATGCTAGCATTAAAATGATGAGAAAGGAAGAATGGAAACTAGGAAGTCAAAGCACACAGGGTTCTTCCATGCATTGTCCTATATGCCAGGCATCCTTGTACACTCACAGCAGATGGACAAACAGCAGAGTCCCTAACATTATACAAACCTTCTTCAAAGTGTTGCCCTATTGGTTTATTCTTCCAGAAGCTGTCTGTAGCTGCTTCTTTTCAATTTACTTAATTATTATTTGTGATCCATAAATTCCCACACAAAATGTTAAAATAATATATTATGATTATAATACATTTTTATAATCTATAATATATATTAAGTTAATTATTCCTCAAAACTTTAAATAATGCATCTTTATAAAGGAAAATTCCTACAGTATCAAAAAGTATAAAATTTGAAAAATCACCCTTTTTCTTACTACCCAAAGAAAATCACATTTAGTATTTTGATACATATTCTCCATTTCCACACATGTTAAGAAAATTGAATTATCTCTTGTATACTATTTTGTAATTTTTTTACTTTACAACATGTAATTGACCTTTCTTTAAAAAGTAAATCCAGAAACTTGTCATTTTTGACAGGGAATGTTTCATTATATGGATGAGATATTATTTGCATAATCAGCCCCATATGATATCTTTTTTACAGTGTTTAACTATTATAAAGTGGTGCCAGAAACATTCTTTGCACAGTTAACCTATTAATTATTAGAATTGAAAATCCTTAATGCAATAACATTTAAGTTTCATAAATCTATTGACTATTCTTACACATTGATCCCTTTGTCAAAACTCATGAAACATTTCCTTCTTCCTCTTCCCAGGAAAATCTCTTACTGATTTGAGATTCCATTGAGCCTATAGGTTATGTTAGGAAGAAATGATATAAAATTGAACATTCCCATTCGAGAATTGTCTCTCTTTAATCATATTTTATGCCCTTTAGCATAAATGTATGGTTTTTATAAACGTATTTTCTTTTCCTCTTTTCTACTCTATCCTTTATTTTCATTGATTTATTTTAAATAACTTTTCTCTAATTGTTTTCTTAAAAATATAATAAACTTGTTCAAATATTATATCATTAAAAAATAGCAGGAGAGGGAATTTTAATGAGCTGTAATATGCATCACATAGATTTTTTTGTGCCAATATGCATCTTCAAATATTTAGCTTTTTAACTTATTTAAAAGCTCCAGTATAATAATAATAAAACCATTTAATTATATTCTGAGAATAATTTCCTAAACTTTAGATTGTACTTAACTGTTTATTCTCTGATAGCTGTTGAACAATGTTTATATAACCCTGTCAAATTACTGACTTTTATGCTAAAGTCATTAATTTATTGTATTTGTTATATTAGAAAACTTCAAAAAGGAATCGTATAGAAAGAAATATCTGCATTTATACATTATTTCAGAATGAATTTAAAATAAAATGAAATGGTGATGCTAGAAATTAGATATATTTTATAGCAATAGAACCCAAAAAATGAATTTTACGAAATCATAATTTATTGATATAGCTTAGTTAGAGCTTTTATTTTAAATAATTTTTATAATGTAAGTAATTTCCAATAGTTACTGACCTGTTGGATTGCTTTCTGTATGTAGATTTTGCTATTATGTCTTATTTTTATGGCAGTAGTTTCCTAATTTAATGAGTATTCAGAGGCCTTTGAGCTATGATTAGGCTTTTAATAAATCAAAGAAAGAAATTATTGTAAATTTCCCATGGGAATGTTGATATACTAAACTACCGTTTGCTCTTGTTAGAGCATAGAGACCCTTAAATGCTGATAAGGATAGTGAGTGATGGTAATAACTCCATCTTTTACTGTAGTTATTATACATGTCTAGTGCCCTTTGGTAATTAGTAGATAAATATCTATGTAAAACTGCTGCTTTTGAATTAAAATATTATGTTTTACCCTGAAGAATTAGACATGATCCCAAAAAGAGAAATCTACAGACTTCTTTTGACAGTAAATGTTATCATCTTAAATATTTTATTTCCTCAACTGAATTGTTTAAATTTGCAAATGCTCGCTACACGTCATGTTCTACAAGTAGACTCCCTCAGGAGTTGTGCGATCACTGGGAGAAGATGTTTTACTAACCCAATAAGGTTGAATCACAGGGAAAAAAATGCTTTTCCTTGGTGACCTTTTATGTCTGGTCTGAAGAGGAATTACTATTAAAATGTAATTAAATCTGCTTTCACAAGCTTCTCATGTAAACTGCCAGAGACTCTCATAAAGCGGCTGTTGTGTATCTGGCCTCTGGTAAAGCATTTCCAAGGAGATAATCAACTTTGAGAAGTTGTGAAACATGGGATTATTTGGTCTGTTTTGTATTTTAATATAGGGATTAAGTCCGTTTATTCACCTGTGAACTGTATAGAGAAAGGTGGTTAATAACTTTGAAGCAGAAAATTAATAGCTTGTTACCCAAGTTAACTAATATAATTAGCTTCCACCTGCTGAGAGTCTTTGTAACAAATGTGAAAGGCAACAAAGATCAGTCAGTAAAGCCTTTATTTGTTTCTTTTGAAGCTTTTCTTTTCCTTTTTCATTTTTTTCTCTTCTTTGGTGAAAAGGAGCAGTACACATTTTTAACAAGTCCAGTGAATTCATTTCTACAACCTAATAACTCTTTTGATACATATAAAGTGAGCTGGCTATGCTATAATCTGAGATTTCACCATTAAGTCGTTTTTCTTGACAGAAGGAAAGTGATGGAATTTTGACAAATTATATTCCAGATACTTTGAATTGCCAGGTGAATGGGCACCTACTTCTCTAAGCAATAACTCTGCTCTTAGGTAAAAGAGTGATTTATTTTCATTCCTTCAGCGTTACCCGTTTCTTAATGTGGCATGGTGTACACTATTCACCTCCATTAATTGCAAAAATAGTAGATGTATTCATACAGGTAAATATATATTCAGAGTGACAAAATCAAGACTAATAAAAAAATTTGTATTCTGATCACATTATTCTGCATTGAAAAAGAAACCTGCTTGGTGGAACCCTGGGTATATGCATCTCTTTCATTTCACGACAGCTGAACAAATGACAGAGAGTGCTTGCACAGCTGTCTGAGACCTTTGAGCGATGCTTCTGGGCTTGTGTGGCTCATGGCGCAATGTACAGCAGCCATGACAAAGGGGTTGGCGTGCTTCCACTTTAGGGGCCTGTCCTTGTTCTCTCTTCCTTTGAATGTTATAAACCCTGAGGGTCCCACTTTGTCCTGTCTCTGGGCTCTCTGGCTTGCAATGGAATTTCGTCTACCAGTTGTTCACCTATTGTACATTATTTGATTGGTACAGTTGTTAAAATGTTTCTCTTACACACACACACACACACACACACACACACACACATCATTCAGAATTTCAGAGTGCGTGTGTGTGTGTGTGAGTGTGTGTGAAAAGAGCCACTTGCAACTTTGAAAGCTGCTACTAAGCCTGGCCTTTGA